CCATGTAAACATGATTGGTAGGTCTTTTCTATTCTCAATTTTCATTAAGGTAACCATACACTCTTATGCATGAAAACCTGATGGTCATCCCCTAAGACTGTGCCCTAAGAAATTATAGCAGTAGTAGGTAGCAGAATTGATAGATAAGTACAATATGAATTGTTAAGAACTCCCATGATTTGCTCAATTGAACTTGTCTGGGTTCCATTGCCTGTCAGATGTGGCACATTCCCTGATGATTACAAAAATGTATAAATACTGCAAATTCTAATCTGAGGGTGAAGTTGTTTTTCAAAAAGTAAAAGAAAATGGAAAAGAGAAGGTCCAATCATGGAAGCTACAATGAGACATATTGCAAAAAAAAGAATGAACCCCACTGTAAATACAAACATTACAATGAAGGTCAGTGTATGTGGACCAGTTTTGGGCTCTGCTCCTGAATGCCCTCCTGATTACATTCATTTCCTTAGCCAGGGAATTGCATTAAATCTAATTAAGACGGCCACACCTTAAGGGCATTGTAGACTTTAACATGGTAACACTCAAATAATGTATAGTTAGGTATTTTCTCCAAACTTTACAATGAAGTTGATCTATCTATAATCTCATCCAACATAAGAAATCACACTCGGTTCATTTTCTGTCAAGGGCTTGAAATGACAGCTGTGGTAAAAAATGCTAATAGATTCAGGCAAGTGACGTTCAACATTTGCTGATATTACATCATTATTATTTATAGTTATGTCAGAAAAGAGAGAAAAAAATATATATTTGTGTAGATGAACACTTTAACACTGAGGGAATATTAAATACCTATCATTTCATATTGATGGAAAAATGTTAGTTAAGGTTTTTTGAGCTTGGTTCTAATTTCTTGGGAGTATGAAGAATCATTTTTGGCCTTCCTAGGAAGTTCTTGATATTGATTACATACCAGATACTTTGAGTATGAGTGAGTGACCACGTTCATGCACACAAACACATATACTCACGTTTAAACTCACATTTAACCCATCATTTTCATTTATTGTCTTTACACATAGATGGCCCTACAAGTGCTTAATCACCAAGGAGTTGGTTATTAGTCCTATCTACCTATCTGACCTGTTTACCCTGTTCCTTGATTTTTGGAGTTTCTTTTGTACTATTTCATTGCCTTTAATAATATCAATATGTTAATAACAATTTAATAATCCTAATATCAGTGACAACAATTACAGTATCAATATCAATTATTCTAGAAAGAAAGGTGCATTTTCCTGCCAATTCAAGAAATGGGGAAATCAGGGTCAGTCAATAGGGCCTACCGTTACTCATTGCTGGCTGTCACGTGTGGAGCCATCTGTATGTAACTAAATTCACAAAAAACTATAGGGGACAGTACATAAATTAGTGGTGATTTGGTTGAACTTGAGTAGAAAGGAACTGAGCGTGGAACACCTAAAATCCATGTTACAATTTTGTATTTAATTTTTCTTCAGATACAGATCAGTACCATAAAGGAAGTATATACTAGTGGATGTAAAAGGTTTTCCCTCAAAATTTGCTCTTTGCACTAGGAAATACTGAATATTTTTTTCAGCAAAATATGATTTCATTAACAAAATTGCTTTATTCCAACAGATATCAAGGAGATTATGAAAAGGATTCAGACAGAGACAGTGGCTACCATAGCCATGGAAATGCAAGTGCTAATTCCGGCTATGGCCACCAGCAGAGAGGGGCAGTTGCAATGTCTCTTAATCCTTTTACAAATCTACCTTATACACCAAGATATTATGAATTATATAGGTAAGTACTTTATTTAATAATTATGATACAAGTATGTTTATCTTTTGGAGATGAAAATCGGTAAATGTTTATAAAGATTATTTTATGTTAAAAATTTATATCATAATTTTATTTTTTACCACAGGAAAAGAATTGGCTTGCCAGTATGGGAATACCGTAATAGATTCTTTGAGTTGTTGGGTCGTCATCAGACCATTGTATTAGTTGGAGAGACCGGTTCCGGTAAAACTACACAGATGCCCCAGTGGTGTGTTGAGTTTGCTCGTTCGAAAGGAAAGAAAGGAGTTGCGTGTACCCAACCCAGGAGAGTAGCAGCCATGTCAGTAGCTCAACGTGTAGCAGAGGTATGGCATTTGTTTGTTCTTTAGGAATAGTTGAGATGATTTGTCTTTTCCATTGTTTCTGTTTTGACTTTCAAGTCTAGTTGTATATTTCTTTTGATATTTCCCTTTTCATTTGATCCTTTGCTAAGTTAAAATGGATGGTAATTTTGTAGTAGAACTGTTCAACATACGCAGTAACTAACAAAAAAATTTTTTTGACCTGGATCACAGTGCCTTGAATTCTAATTTAAGTTAGAAGACAGGGCTGATTTATTGTTTTATTGTCTAATCCTTCATATAATCTAAAAATGTCCAATATTTTCCAGGAATTAGATGTAGCTCTTGGACAAGAGGTTGGTTATTCCATCCGTTTTGAAGATTGTTCATCATCAAAGACTGTTCTCAAGTACATGACTGATGGTATGTTACTTAGAGAAGCTATGAGTGATCCGATGCTTGAAAATTACCAGGTGAGCCTTTTGTTTATTCTAGATAAGTTTACATAAACATATGGAACTATTAGACAAGTTTAGCTGAAGCCTAAAATTGTACTTAGATATGCGAGTCAATTTGCTATTCGTCTTTCACACAAAAATATATGCATATAATAAATGCTGTTTTGAATTTATTAGTGAATTTATTCTTTGACAGGTAAAGGGATTAGATCAGAATTTTATTTTTTAATGAAATTAAAAAGGAAATCTAGGAAGACATTAGAATTTGCTCTTTATGAATTCCTTTTTAAACACAAATTTTTGAGATAGGAAATGTACAATTGCAGATTAAGTTACTAAAAATATTTTTCCTTAAACAGGTGATCTTGCTTGATGAAGCTCATGAACGTACACTGGCAACAGATATTCTCATGGGTGTCTTGAAGGAGGTCCTTAAGCAACGAAGCGACTTGAAGCTAGTAGTTATGTCTGCCACTTTAGATGCTGGTAAATTCCAGCATTACTTTGATAAAGCCCCCCTACTGAATGTCCCAGGCAGAACTCATCCTGTCGAAATTTTCTACACACCAGAGCCTGAGAGGGATTACTTAGAAGCTGCCATTAGAACTGTCATACAGGTAATTCAGGATTACTATATTTCTGAGTAAAACTTAAAAATCTGTTTAGTAATGATTTTGATGGTAAATGGAAATTTCTCTTGAATGAATTGGAAATTCAAGGTAGTCATCCATGTTTTGATTCTTTACAGATACACATTTGTGAAGAAATAGCTGGGGATGTTTTGTTGTTCCTTACTGGTCAAGAAGAAATTGAAGAAGCATGTAAGCGCATCAAGAGAGAGGTAGATGCTCTTGGGCCAGATGTTGGAGAGCTCAAATGTATACCTCTGTATTCAACACTCCCTCCCAATCTCCAACAAAGAATTTTTGAAGCTCCACCTCCTAACAAACCCAATGGCGCTATTGGTCGTAAGGTGGTGGTATCAACAAATATTGCAGAAACATCACTAACAATTGATGGTGTTGTGTTTGTGATTGATCCAGGTTTTGCAAAACAGAAGGTAAGATCCCAAGACAGATTATTAATGATTGGAATTTACGTACAGCTATTTTCAACTTGATATTAGATTTCTAATTCTAGTTCTTGTGGTATATGTATGTTAACCCAATGTTGACATAGATGCCATGCCCACTGTGATTTTACTTTATTTTTACACATAGATTACTTCACTTGTACCAAGTTACCAATGAGTCAATTACGAGTACTGCCTGTCTCGCCTATTTACCCTTTTCCTTGATTTACAAAAATATTTTATCTTATTTTGCTATTGCTAATATTTATAACCTTATTGTAATTATAATGTCGGTAATAAAAATAACGCCATCAATACTCATACTATTAGTAAAAAATAAATTTTTCCTGCCAATTCAAGTAAAGGTGAAATTAGGTAAGGTTACAAGATCTACTTATTGACTTAGACTTATAATTATGTTACAGGTGTACAATCCAAGAATCCGTGTAGAATCATTGTTGGTCTCACCAATCAGTAAGGCTTCTGCTCAGCAGCGTGCTGGTCGAGCAGGTCGAACCAGACCTGGCAAATGTTTCCGCTTATACACAGAGAAGGCTTTCAAAAATGAGATGCAGGTAAGGTTTACAGTGTATTTTAAGTTTGTAATAAGGGACTTTTAAAAGTTGGCGTTCTGATTTTTTTTTAGAATATGCAGATTTGATTTTAAAATTTATAGGTGTTTATGCTTTCTCAAGAAAGTAGAAATTTATTCTTTTACTACTAAAAACCAGAATTGTACTATGTAACTGTATTATAATTGGGATATTTCTCTTTTCCCCTCCAGGACAATACCTACCCAGAAATTCTCAGATCAAATCTTGGCTCAGTAGTTTTACAACTGAAGAAATTGGGCATTGATGATCTTGTGCACTTTGACTTCATGGATCCACCAGCACCTGAGACACTTATGAGAGCCTTGGAGCTGCTAAACTACCTGGCAGCCCTCAATGATGATGGTTAGTGTACCTGTATAGGAGTAGCAGTATGATATAGATTATTACTGTATGGATTAGTCTAGAGGAACAATTTAGATTTTCAGCTAGGGACTGAATGACTTGCGTAACTTCCTTTTGTTTTAGTGTCCTACATCCATTCAGTTAAATAGTAATAATAATAGAAGTGATACTTTTAGACTAAAACTGAAGTGAGTATTAAGGTCAGTGGTGGTTATTTTCTTTTTTCAGGTAATCTGACTGAATTAGGTGCAATTATGGCTGAGTTCCCACTTGATCCTCAGCTGGCCAAGATGGTTATTGCTTCTTGCGATTTCAACTGCTCAAACGAAATTCTGTCTATCACTGCCATGCTCTCAGGTTAGTTACTAAAAGGTAATGGTATTTTTAGATTGCTTAGAATTAGCTAAAGAAATGAAAACTCCAAAAAGTAAAGTATCATAATGGATGATGAACAAATTAATAAATAATTGTTAAATCTTTCTTTCTCTTGAATTTGTTTTTTGTACTGGATAGGTTTTAACAGTACTTAGTTCCTTTATCAAAGTAAATCATGGAGAGATAGGTAAGGACAAACTTTTATAATCCTTTTTTACCAGCTTACAAGCTCCAGATAGTAACTGAAATAGGTAGTGAGAAAGTTTGAATCAAATTGGTAGTAAGACAGTGGGAACTGTTATGCACTACACAAGTGCAGCACGGCTGAAGTAAATCGTCACTGTAATGAGCCACACTGTATTAGAACCACATCTTTCCATCAGTCCCCCAAGGTAATCTTGACTGAAATTGACTGGTGTTCAGAAGCATCAGGCTACATCAGCAAGGAATCAGGAGATTTTTTGGGAGGAAACTCGCGAATTTATGGCCAAATAGGATTGATTATGGTGTGGATCTCTGGAGGTTGTGGTTCTAATCTGGTGTAGCTCCCCTAGGTGGCTGAAGTAAAGTGTTGAGCAAGCCAGGAGGGGCGCTGCCCTTCGCCTTGTGAGGAGGGTGAGGCTTAATGTTTGGGCCGTACCCTCCCTCTCCTGCCGTCATGCGCGGCTGTGGTGGGGCCGGGTCGGTTTCCCAATTCTTGCTACAGTACCCCAGTGCTTTGTGCGCCCTAATGAGGCTAAGAAGGCTGCAGACGAGGCCAAGATGAGATTCGCCCACATTGATGGTGACCACCTTACGCTGCTCAATGTCTACCATGCCTTCAAACAAAGTGAGTATTCAAAAATATAACATATTTTTTCTTAAGTCTTGTATTTTAGTGGCTCGTTTATTTTCTGTTTTAGAAGGTTTACTAAAGCTCACATTACTTTACGTGATAAAATGTTTGTGATCTAGAATAAGTGGGACAATTAAAAAGAAAAAGAGCAGATGAGTCCACTTCAGATTTTTTGAAAGAAATCTTGTTATTGCTGAAGATATTCATAGTTGTCCAAATAGAAAATGGTTGGTAATTAAATGAACTACTTATTTAAGTGTGAAGTTATAACGCGTATTTTTGTGGACAGCATGTGGACATTTGCATTTCGTTACCAAAAGAGCTGTTTGTAAGAAACATGCTATACAAGTCATTTTTTTGCATGTAGCCATTGATTTTTTTATTTTAATCAGCATGGAAGTATACAAGTCGTAAATAAAACCAGTGCATATTATTCTTTATCTTTGTATGCTTTGGCATTTTATGAAAGGAGCTTGTAAATGAAATTAGTAAGTGCTCCTGATATATTGAAGTAGATGATAAATTGTTAATTAAATTTGTTCTACTCTATCCAATGCCTCTGGAAGAATTTGGGGTTCACTGGGCCTTTTCTCAAGGGATTATGTGCTATTTCAGATGCACTGCACCAACAAAATGATATTTCTTTTTGTATCACTTGTATCTAAAACACGATTTTAAGGTTTTTGCATATTTAAGATGCTTGACATTCATTTTAGTTACTAGATTGAACCTGCAGTAGCCTCATTATGTACACTAGTCTATTTCAATAAATCAGGTATTTTATATTCTGTGCACTAGATGGAATGTTTTATTGAGGGATAAGAAGAGGACATTCTCTCCTTTTTGGCAAATCTTATTCTTACAAAGTAAGTGATTGTATGCAGTTGTATACAAGAGTCACACTGGCGTAGTGCTACATATCAGTCTGAGTATTTGACAGGATCATGTTAACTAGAGTGAAGGTTACTCACAGATTCATAGTAGCAGCAAGAAAGCACAATGTTTTGGTGTGTGACATCTTCCAGGCATAGCAGGCAAATGGTGTATGTACTAAATATTGTCCTTTATACAAAAAAATAGCCAATTAGAGCATTACACGTCCTGTTCTCCCTTGGGCAGTACTCCAGGTCATAGGACATGTGGGCAGTGGGTACCTTATAAAGAACAGCCAAAATGTAATGCATGCATCATAGCATCAGAGCAACATGTGAAGGACTTGTTGCCCAGAGCTGCGTCTGTCAGTTATGACGTGAATGACCTGTCACCTAGAGGCATGACCAAGTCAGCCTGATGTCTTCCAGAGGCTATGGGTTAACAGAAAATGACATAATTTGTGTTAATTTGTTAAAATGATCAGAATGTCAACTTGTCAAGTAATCTTGATATTCTTTCATGGCTGAAAGCAAGCATTATAAAGAAAAGAAAAATGATATGTGCTGGAATTTCCTATTAAGTTTCTAGAATCCTTAAAGCACATTACAAGATTTTGTATCTTGGGGATTTTCTTTGTTTTGAACCCGAATCTTTACTAATTACAATTCTTTTTTTCCCTGATCCATTATACTCCGGTAGATATGGAGGATGTGCAGTGGTGCTATGACAACTTTGTCAACTACCGTTCACTCAAATCAGCTGATAACGTTCGGCAACAGCTCTCCAGGATCATGGACCGATTCAGCCTCAAACGTACCTCAACCGACTTCAATTCTCGTGACTACTACATTAACATCCGCAAGGCTCTTGTATCAGGGTTCTTCATGCAGGTAGTATTATAGTAATTGATCTGTATATAATACAATGTAATATAAAAATGAAGAAGGTAAAAGTCAGAATTGCTCACACAGTAATTTGTTTGTAGCTTGTTTTGTTTTATGTTTAATCTTCAAGAATAGAAGAACATTAGTGTATGTGCATAAATATGTAATGTATCTTTAACCCAATGGCGCCGGGTGTACAAAAGAAAAAAAAAAACTCTACGCTTAAACAAACAAAGGCGGCACGCCGACTTTGAGCGCGTGAGTAGGGGACATCAGCCCGGATCACTGGCTCGCCGCGCTTTGGCGTGCTGCCGGCTCGTTCGGCGGCACGCCAGCTTTCGAGCTCTTTGTTTACACGCCGATCGGCGTCACCCGGCACCAAGGGGTTAAAGATGAACTTATTCATTTTGATATATGCTGTTCTGTTTGTCAGTGGGCAAATGTATGACAGGTTCATAAATACTACATTAAGACCATTCGTTGTTTCAAAAGTATATATTATATATTGAAGATGCAGGTAGATTCAACAGTTATCAAATTTTGTTTTTGCTTGAAATGCTATTTCATGTTTATGGTAGTATATTTCATTTTTCAGATTGCTCATCTTGAAAGAACTGGGCATTACATGACCATCAAAGATAACCAGGTTGTGCAGCTTCACCCATCCACTTGTTTAGACCACAAACCAGAGTGGGTCCTTTACAATGAGTTTGTCCTAACCACGAAAAACTACATCCGCACAGTGACAGATATAAAACGTAAGCATTTAAAGTATGATTGCACATGTAGTCGATAATAAGTAAACTACTGGTTCAGTTTCTATTAATTTAATTTCAGTAGGTATATCAGATGATGCTTTTGATAACTTTAATGAGTAGTGAATATTTTTTGCTCTTTTTCTCTTTTTTGCAATTAATTATTGTTTCATAGATATGTTATTCGTAAAGAGAGGATTATAGTATATATTGTTTATTCCTGTTGATTAAAGCTTATACAGTAGTGCAGGCAAGTCAATTTTAGTGTCATTAATGGAGTGATGGATTTGCATATGTTTCAATCTCTCTCTTTACTGTGAAAACGGAAATCTTAAAGACTATTTTGTTATTATTAGGTAATAGTAAAAATATTAGTAAAAGTAATATGATACAGCCATTAATGTCAACTTGTCTTTGGTGTTTAATTTAGTTTTGCTAGGGTTTATTTTCATTCTGTATATGATAAAAGTGCAGAGAGTCAATATGTTGAAAATAGAATTGTATCACAAAAATAAAGAGCCGTGCATCATGTATTGTTTTATCAAAACTACATATTTGTATTGTAAAATGTGCATTGTAAGGGATTGTCAACAATGGGATACCTGTTGCATCAATTTTTGTTGCCAACATTGTGTTTCAAAGGTAATTGTTTTCTATTTCAGAGTCCAGTATGGATGGCCCAAAATTTTATGTTGGATAGGTAAAATGTGATTTTCTGTGTAATTTTACAGACCTGGAATTAACTTAAGATTTTTCTTCTTTTTAGCTGAGTGGCTGATAAAAGTTTCTCCAAACTACTATGACATGCAGAACTTCCCACAGTGTGAAGCCCGGCGGCAGCTGGAGAGTATTGTTGCACGTCTGGAATCTAGACAGTATAGAGAAGGGTTCTAGGTGTCTTCAGAGGGGCACTAGGTGAAACATTGAAAGTAATTAATAAACTAGAAACTGTAATCTATGGCAGAGTTTTTATTTGTTGGCATATTGTGGAATAGGTCAATAGCTGAACCACTCTTTCTTGAATAGGAAATTTGCAGAAGATTATGGGGTTGGGAAAAAGTTATGACTTAGATTGATGGGTATAAAACAGAAGCAGTCTTAGTGTCTTTTTTTATGTAGACGGAATGTGAAGTAATGGGTATTAGTTGTGTATGTTTTGAATATTTTATAAATGCTTTATTTTTCACATTTAAATATTTCATTGTTTGGTTATAAGTCCTGAACTGTTACTATAGGAAATGAAAATGTATAAAGCAGTTATTAATATGGGTTTTAGGGATTTTGGGCATGTCACAAGATAGCCATTACTTCTTTAGAACATATTTAAAAGACCTCATTTTGAGGAAACTCATTGAAATGGTTGGAAATCATCTTATTTTCTATTATAAATAATTGTAATGTATGTACAAACCTTCAGACTTCTGTATGAAATTTCTTTGTTGATTTCATTGTCACATTTCTGGTAGTATTTTTTGAACCTTTAGAAAAATGGACAAAAACCAGTCTAAAGGCTACTACCATAAGATATCATTCCCATTGTGTACTCACTGAAGATGCCAGTAGTTTAATTATAAGCACCAGTGCTACGGCATGTAGCAGGGTCCACAGATAATCTTCATGTAGAAAAAGGAAAAAAAAATCTTTTGGCTTATGTTCAGCAATTAATAAAAGATTTTCTTAATATGGTGTTTTATTGACAATTTTAAGGAGACTCATTGTTTTGATTTTCCTGCTGTAATGTGTTTTGCATATTGATAATTAGACACATTTGCTTTCCTCACTGTACATTAGCTAGTAACCTTAGAGGTAAGTGTCTGAGATCCAATTGCACCACCAAATCAACATTTAATGAAACTAGATAAAATCAAAAGAAGGCAAGGACCTGAAAATCAGAAACAGAATTTTGAAAGCTGTTTTTATTCCCCTTCCCTCCCAAATTTATAAAGGTCAATATGATTACTACAGACTGTATCCATATATACAAGTTTGACATTTAGCAAAAATGTTAAAAAACCTTTAATTAGTGGGCATCGAGTGCGAAAATATTGGTGCGTATCATAGCTGTTGGTAGAAGTCGCCATTAAATTTGTTTGCCTCGCTCCAGGAACTAAAAGGAATTGAATTTCTGGGTAATATTTCAGTCCATATATCAGGTGAGGTATATAGTGATGTGCTAAATTTAGTTAAATACTCCACAGTGGCAAAGACAAGCTACCAAGTCAAAGAAAGGAATATATGAAAGATCGCATAAGGGTCACTTGTGAACCTTAGTGCGTTGAAAATAGTTCATTCTCTGAACGAGAATTACAAGTACACCAACATTCAGTAGCTTCATCAGATTTTCAAATTGCAAATGTGAAAATGCGGAAGTGCAGCTGTTAAAACTTAACCCTTGGAATAATCTCGCATGGAAATTCATTCCTTTATTCTGTCAAGTCGGGGGATAGCGACCATAACTTTGAGTATAGGAAATTGGTTAATTGAATATATCGATCAGACTATAGTTTTGATAAACAAGTTAATTATTTTCGAGGGTTTAGGGTGCACGCTCTTACTTCAGATAAGATAAAAAAAATATTTATATATAGGGAGGCATAAATGAAAAAAAAATCTTTATATATGCCAGGCATATAGAGGGCAATAGTAGGGCCTGTTTTAACGGTACTTAACCATAGAATATGAACATGTGCGTGTGCAAATGAATGCATGATCAACGTGTTTGATAGTAATAAACTTGCCTGTTCATCTGCAGCGTCATCGTCAGCGAATACGTACAGGAAAGCAGCCGCCGTGGCTGCCTTGGGCACGCTTACAAGTTTTGGCTAAACAACGTTGAACTTGATAACAAAAACATAGATATATAAATGAACACACACACGCACATGACTATCAAACAAAGATTAAGCAAGAGTAAATGCAGGAATTCCATAAAAAGGATCACAGTAAGAAAAATACTATTCCTTCTATATATATGCAATGGTTATCGTAAATTCTCGTCAAATAAATATCTAATATAATGGCTTCTACTATTATTAACATTCTTTTTTTAAATTCCAACTTTCTTATAGAAAGTTCAAGCAATCTTTTGTACAATTCAGTCAGCCTATCGTCCTCAACTTTCGTTTTCTTTGAGGTCGAATGCAAGAATAATTGCAGCGTAGGCTATCTTATTGTTTCTACTCATAGCCAATTCTGCATGAAGTTTCATTTGTGTGTTTCATTACCTAAAGCACGTGTGTAATACAGTTTCACAGCCAAAAGTGAGAGCTTTTATATCCAGAAACAAATGACTAGCACCATACTGTTTACTATCAACGATAATTGATTAGTTTCTTATTTAAAAGGATGTGAATATTGAGTCGCATTTCCACTGCGTTGTTAGGGTCCCCATTTCCTCCTTTGGCTAAAGCCCCTGCTTATCAGTGAATATAAAACTGACATCTATTCCCGCCTCTCACCCCATAGCTGCAAATATTTGTGTAATGGCAATCAATATTCACCCACTATTAATTTTCATACTACACGCTAATTTTGATAAGGGAGACGTTTGCTGCAGAGTGAGAGAAAAAATACATGTTCATGATAATAACGTGTTTGATAGTAATAAACTTGCCTGTTCATCTGCAGCGTCATCGTCAGCGAATACGTACAGGAAAGCAGCCGCCGTGGCTGCCTTGGGCACGCTTACAAGTTTTGACTAAAAAACGTTGAACTTGATAACAAAAACATAGATATATAAATGAACACACACACACACATGACTATCAAACAAAGATTAAGCAAGAGTAAATGCAGGAATTCCATAAAAAGGATCACAGTAAGAAAAATACTATTCCTTCTATATATGCAATGGTTATCGTAAATTCTCGTCAAATAAATATCTAATAAAATGGCTTCTACTATTATTAACATTCTTTTTTTAAATTCCAACTTTCTTATAGAAAGTTCAAGCAATCTTTTGTACAATTCAGTCAGCCTATCGTCGTCAACTTTCGTTTTCTTTGAGGTCGAGTGCAAGAATAATTGCAGCGTAGACTATCTTATTGTTTCTACTCATAGCCAATTCTGCATGAAGTTTCATTTGTGTGTTTCATTACCTAAAGCACGTGTGTAATACAGTTTCACAGCCAAAAGTGAGAGCTTTTATATCCAGAAACAAATGACTAGCACCATACTGTTTACTATCAACGATAATTGATTAGTTTCTTATTTAAAAGGATGTGAATATTGAGTCTCATTTCCACTGCGTTGTTAGGGTCCCCATTTTCTCCTTTGGCTAAAGCCCCTGCTTATCAGTGACATAAAACTGACATCTATTCCCGCCCCTCACCCCATAGCTGCAAATATTTGTGTAATGGCAATCAATATTCACCCACTATTAATTTTCATACTACACGCTAATTTTGATAAGGGAGACGTTTGCTACAGAGTGAGAGAAAAAAATACATGTATTATAGCTTCCCTTTTCTGAAGATATTATGTGTTAGTGCAAATTACCCGTATAAATGATTCTGAAAAGCCTTAAATTTTGTAGGCCATAAAAGTAATATAATAAAGTGGATGAAGAAACATATGAAACAATACCCTCTCAATTGAAGGAATTAGTTAATTTCACTGTGAAGAGGATATTCGCTAATTTTAGTTACAGTACCTACAACTTCCAAGTAGTTACCAGAAAATTCAAATGCTATGATGGTGCACTGAAAATACAAAGGGTATAACGTACAAATAGTATGAGATCTTACTTCTGAATTCTAACAACTTAATCGGCGGACTATTCTGGCACACGAAAAACATGCGTCAATAAATAAATCCAAGTCAAGTCCAAGTCATTCCTATAGTCGCATGACCGTTGGGGCACTTTGCAGCGTTCACCTCCCTCTTCCACCTGTCCCGATCTGCAGCCAGCCTAATACATTCCGTGGGTTTTCTTCCGGTCCATCTTTGTATGTCACTAAGCCAGTTCATTCTAGGTCTTCCTTGCCTTCTTGTACCTTCAACAGTTCCATGCATGATGATATGTGCTGGTGTCCCTGGACGCTGCATCACATGTCCAAACCATTGCAGCTTCCTTCTTCTGGCTATTTCAATAAATGGTTCAAATGGTCCTGCCTTGTCAGTGATCTCTTGAATTATGAAGATGTTGGTACGATGATCCCGGTACTTGACTCCCAAGATACGCCGGAAGCATCGCATTTCAAAAGCGTTCAGTCTCCCTTCCAGACGTTTGTTGAAAGTCCAGGACTCACACCCATAAAGCAATATGGATGTTATTAGTGCATGCATTAGCTTAATCTTTATTTCCACTCGAATTTTCTTGCTGTTCCAGATGTTGCTTAATTTGGCAAGTACTTAAATGTCTCCACCGTTTCCAATCGATCGCCTCCCACTTCAATCACAGTGTCCATGTCCTAATTGCCTTGCCTTGATGTTACCATTATCTTGCTCTTTTCGCTGCTTATCTCCATTCCATATTTTCTCGTTGTGTTTTCTAGTCTTTCCACGATGTTAGCAAGTTCTTCTGTGCTACTTGCAATCAGGTCAATGTCATCCGCAAATCTTAGGTTGAACACCTTTTGTCCTGCCACTGATACCGTTCCTTCAAAATTTTCCATCGCTTCTATCATTATTTGTTCTAAGAATAGACTGACCAACATAGGTGACAGTATGCATCCTTGTCGTACTGCAACTTTAGTCTCGAACCATTCAAGTGCACTTCCATCTGTTATCACAGCATTGGTATCCTTATCATACAGGGCCTCGATCAACTGGACCAAGTGTAAGCTGATGTTATACTTCTTCATCGTGCACCATAACGCCTTTCTTCATACTCTATCGAACGCCTTCTTGAAGTCGATAAAATTGTGATGTAGCTCTCGTTGGTGATCCCTAAATTTTTTCCCAAGCATTCGGACATTGCAAATTTGTTCTCTTGTGCTGCGACCTTCACGAAAGCCAGCCTCTTGTTCTGCCAAAATATTCTCAATCTGTAGTTTTAGTCTTGTCCCAATTATTCTTAACATGACTTTACTTGCATGGCAAATTAAACTGATGGTTCTGTAGTTGTTACACTGTTTTAAGTTCCCTTTCTTTGGTAGCGGTATTACTAGTGATTGTGTCCACTGTGTTGGCCACTCTTTGTTCTTCCAGATTAACATACAGATCTTATGTAGTACTGTAACTGTAGATTCTCCTCACTAGTAATACCGATACTAAAGAAAGGGAATTTAAAACAGTGTAACAACAACAGAAATAAATAAATAAATAAATAAATAAATCACATTTCATTTACGCACCCACCTACCCACACACATACATGCGCGGTATGGTAAGAAAAGTGATGTTGATAATGGCAAGGGCAACAATAATAATAATGATAATATTGATGACAATGACAACAATAATGATAACTATAATGATTATAAAAAAACAATGATAATAATAGTGGTAATAATGATGATTATAATGATAACAAAAAAGACAACTATTATAATATTGATGATAATAATATTGACAGTGATGACCATAATATATCAATGATAATAATAATAATGATTATGATAATAATGATTATGATAATAATGGTAATGGTAATAATACATCAATATTAATGATTATAATGATTATGATAATAATTATGATAATAATGATTATACTAATGATGATGATAATAACAATAGA